GGGTGACGAAGAGGTCAAAATCTATATATATTTAACTTCTGCGTAAGGTGTAAAAAGGAGGTTCTAACCGGAGGTTGGGTAGACCGTAGATCTCGTAAGTATGGTCTGTAAGTGGCCCCTGCGCGGGCCCCTTGCCTCGAGGTCGAATTGGACTTCCAATCCGACACATAGAGCCCAATAGTTCACCAAAATAGATCTCAAGGAAGCCTTCAACCAAGTACGAATCAAAGAAGGCGACAAATAGAAAACAACATTCCGAACACATAGAGGACTCTTCAAGTACCTAGTCATGCCCTTCAGACTCACCAACGCACCCGCTACATTTCAAACAATAGCAAACCACGTCCTTAAAAAATATATAAACATCTTCATTATCGTCTATATCGACAACGTACTCATCTTTTCTCCAGACCTCAAAACACATAAAAAACACGTCCATAAGGTATTCCAGAAACTTCAGGACGCCAAGCTCTATACCGAACCCAAGAAATACGAGTTCCACGTCCAGAAGGTTAAATTTCTTAAATACGACATTACACTAGGACAAATATACATACAACCATCAAAGGTAGAAGCAGTTAAGGACTAGCCTATACCCCAGAACATCAAGGACGTACAAGCCTTCCTAGAATTCATCAATTTCTACTAACAATTCCTTAAGAACTATACTAGCATAATCAAACCCCTCAACAACCTGACCAGAAAAGATACGCCATTCATTTAGAACTTAAATTACAAAAAAGCATTCATCAAAGTTAAAGATATAGTTTATCTCCGAACTAGTAACTATAATCCCCGACCCAAAACGACCCTTCAAAGTCAAGACCGACGCCTCGGACTTCGCTATAGGAGCAATTCTAAGTTAACAAAATAAATAAAGAAAACTTCACCCTTACATATTCTACTCTAAAACATTTCACAAATCAAAATTAAACTAGCAAATCCACAATAAGGAACTAATAGCTATAATTAAAGCATTTCAAGAATAGAAACCATAGTTATTAGGAACCAAGCATAAGGTTACGGTCTACACGGACCATAAGAACCTCGCCAACTTCACAAAAAATAGAAATCTAAACAAATAGTAAATTAAATAGACTAAATTCCTCTCAGAATTTAATTTCCAAATTATCTACTAGAAAGGATCAAAAAACAGTAAAATAAACGCTCTCAGCAGAAGATCGGACCACAAGGTCACGGTCCCTAAGGAAACGTAGGTTATCCTTAAATTTAATAACAAGGGCGACCTTGTACTTACTACCAAACTCCTTATAATAGCCAAGAAGGTCAATACCAGCACGACTAGAAAAATAACCCCTAAGCTCATTATAGAAATCCATAATACTAGGGTATACGGCCACCAAGGTATTACAAAGACATAAAAACATATCAAACAACATTACGACAAGTCTACAACACAAGCAGAAGTTGCTAACGCAATCAAGGACTATAAAACCTACAGAAAAAGCAAGAATAGCCCCCATAAGCCCTATAGAGAGCTATAACCATTACCAGCACTAACAGAACCATAATAATTAATCTCCTAGGACTTCATCATTAAACTCCCCAAGTCCAAAGAACCACTCACAAACATACACTACGACAGCATCTTAATTATCATCGACCGACTTACCAAATACGCCCATTTTATACCCTATAAGGAAATAAGCAACACCGAAGAACTAGCATATATATTCCTTAAAATAATAATCGCAAACCACGGACTACCAAATGAAATCGTTTCCGATAAAGACAAGCTATTCACCACCAAGTTCTAGAGATCCTTAATCTCATAACTCGGCGCGGACCACAAACTATTAACATCATTTTACCCATAAACCAATAAACAAATAAAAAGAATTAATCAGATTCTCAAAATATACCTCCGCTATTATATAAACTACTAACAAATAATTAGGTAGAACTTCTACTAATAGCCCAGTTTATATACAATATAGCAGTAAGCAAAAGCACAAAGGAATCCCCATTCCAGCTCAATATCGGTCACTAACCAACCGCCTATAGAGAACTACGCAAAGGACCACTTACTATAAAGGCAGTAGCAGACATAAAGAAACTCAAAGAGATCCAGGCTAAGGCCACAAAGGACCTTGAGTTTATACGAGAACGTATAAAGAAATATACCAACAAATCAAGGATTAGAGACCAACCTTTAAAAAGGGAGATAACGCCTATCTCCTCCAACAAAATATCAAGACGAAGCGACTAAATAACAAGTTAGACTACAAAAAACTTAGACCTTTCGAAATTATCTAGAAAGTCTCAAACGTCAATTATAAACTAAAACTCCCCGACACCATAAAGTGTCACCCAGTATTCCATATCTCACTTCTAAAGCTAGCACCCCAAGGCTTATATACAAACGACCGCATCATTATAGAACCAAACTAACTAGAATATAAAGTCGAACGGATCATCGATCATAGAGTTAGGAACAAAACACAAGAATTCCTAATTAAATAAAAAAACTACGGATATAAAGAAAATACATAAGAACCATATACCAACCTCTAGAATACACGACAACTTCTCAACAACTATAAAAGAACAACTAAGCCCTAGAAGGCTCACTTGTAGTAAGAAGCCCTAGGTCTACAAAACTAGTCCCCAATGACGACTAATTAGTCTCATTTAGAGCACCCTAAGCAGCCAGATCATCTACAACACGTATCTCCTACACTTCCAAGGACCTCTCCTTAGCCTCCTATTCTTTAACCGATTACATTCCACAACGGATAAGATCCGAACCACGCTCTTTTAAAAACCGCTTCTATTTCTTAAGACGAGACAAACAACTTAAGGCAGTTGCCAATTAAATCTATAAAACCTCTAAGGCCTCCTCGGCCTCCTATTCTTCACACTCTATTTTCTTCTATTCTTTAAAATAACAATTTACTACAAACACGATTAGCACCATAATAAAAATAAAAAATTAAAGAAACTCACGAGCGTTCGCCACGTCACCACTATCATAATTTATTAAAGTACGAGTAACGCACTCGCTACAACGCTTTAAATTAAATAAATCTATCTTATATATACGGTTATACTAAAAACAGGGAGAACACAGCATCGTATCGTAACTTTTATATTCAACAAGAACACCGAGAGCCTAACGATTATACTTGATCTTATCGCAACACACTTCGCAAGAATCGGATTTTTAAATACGACCTGATATAGTATTAGGACATGGTAAGAAACAAAACTTAACGGACCCTAACCTGGGTCACGACCACTTACTTATAGGTCTACAGGACTAGACCTTTAAGAGGAGGAGCTAATATTACAACCTAACGTATATAACTAACCTAAAAGCCAGCTACCGGACCACGGCAGCTACAGCATAATATATATATATACAAAACAAGGACGCAGTTACTCCTCACGGGACGGAAAAACTATAAAACAAGTCACGTATTAATAAAATAAGGATCATATTAGATCATTTTAATCTAACATGATTTAAGGTCTAAACGATCATTCTAGATTAGAATAATCTAGAATAACCTAAAGAATAAAGAATATATTTAGGGATAAGACTTATATATAAGATAGACTTAAGCCGGGCTTAAGGACAGACTTTCTATAACTTCTTTAACTATTAACTTTATATTAAATCTTATAATTACTTTTAATTATCTTCACTAAGAACCCTTTAACAAGATTACTATTAATCACTGAAGCTTCACCCTACGGCTTATAAGATATAACTTCCCCAAAGCTATCTAACAACCTTATTTATTATTATTTAGTCCTCGCGGCCTGAACTTCTGCGAACTTACCTCACTACGACTAGCTGGCCGTAACACACAGCGGCTGCGGGTGTCGACCTATCGACAAATACATCTCTCAGGCGGCTCAAAATCTCGTGCAGGTGGATCTGAATATCACACCTTCACTCCCTAGTGAAGCAGCTCCGCTGATGGAGGAGACTTCCATGTGATCGAAATCCCATAGCAGAATTTAGCTAGCGAACAGTGTTACGTTGATTGGGCCAGGTTAGATGGAAATAGTCAAGCGAACACACCTCTACTCAGCTCGGAGGGCATCGTCTTGGGTTTGATGGATGGTAAATGTAAGATGGCTTAGTGCCAGCGCGACAAGCTATGACAGACTGTAGTATTGGAACGAGCAGGTAACAAGAACTCAAGTATTACGATGAATTTATAATATCAATAGAAGCAGCTTTCCCGTTTTCAGGCAAATGGATCTCTCAAGGTGTTTTGTATTTAATAGCGTAGTCGATAGGAAAGGGCTGCTACTAGATGTGACCACGCACCTATGTCAGCTATGTAAGATGGCTTCACCTAGAACCGCACATGATACAGTTTACTCGGAATGATCATGGCTGACAATGGTTGTGGCTTATACCTACGTAAGCTAAGGTAAGTAGCCAGTTAAGAGGTTTGTATTGTTTCTTACAAGTATGGGATATGGAGGTGGTCTTAGTATTCCAGCTACTTTTAGACACCTACGTCGCACAAAATCATAGCTCAAATCGGATGATCGAAGTGTGTATTGATATAGTGTACATAAATATGTTGGCCTTATCATCAGAATTGCCTCCCCTCCCCCTCCCGCGCACACCGGCTTCTGTTTTGGCAGCCGCATCGACGTCCTTGTTACCCTAAACCCCTGAAATATGTCTTATCAGGGCTGTTATCATTGAGGTGATCTGAATGGGGGAGGTTAGGTGGGGATTTGCCAAGAATACAGTTGGGAGCTTGCCCCTGAAGATGAGGCATTTGGGTCGTCATGGGCGATCTTCGGTGCGGAGACGTCTTACCCCAGTCAAGGGACGACCCTTGAAGTCTACCTAGAAATGTCTTGCTGCTGGAAATGTTACCTGATGGAAATGTCATTTGATTGGTTCTCGAGCGATGATCTGACCCTAGTTGCGACTGAACGAGCAACGTCAGATGATCAGACCGTGGCGGGAGGCAGAATTCATGGCGCTCCCTTCATTCCTCGATTTGTTGCGCAACAGAAGCGATAGATCCGCAGACGATTTCGAATTTTTCTATAGGACCATGGTAAAGCTGAGATGCGATAATGTCTTTCTACCACCTAACGATAGCCAACTGGATACAAAAAGTTTCGGCCGTGCATCCGCGTGATCGGACGTACGACCGAGCCAATAAACGGTGCCGGAGCGATTCGTTATCCCATATCCATATGGATACCATATGGTAGTGGAGGTGAGGTATGTTCCTGATCCCGATCCCCCTGTCCGATTACTACATTCTCTATTCCTTCTCTGACCTGGCCCATTCCCCACGTTTGCGGAGTCTAAACCTTCAATTTTGGCCATCGACGCCTGCCTTACCCTACTACGACGCAATGTTCAGGAAGTTGGCCCCCCTGGTAGCCTCTGTGGACAGTAACCAGTCCTCCACGTCCGAACCCTCTCAAGCAGACATCTCAAAGAGGAAACGTGTACAGGCTGACGTTGCTTGCAATCCTTGCCGAAGAAGGAAATCCCGCGTGAGTCCTGCCGCCAGCCTGGCCTTTCCGTCGGCGGTCTTGGTCTCAACGTATCTTGAATGATTTCATGGATTCCACTGACGACCGGCGTCGCGCCCGCTGTAGTGTGATGGATTACGTCCAACTTGCGCTACGTGTCAGAAGCTATCATCCGACTGCACCTACGTACAGAAACGAGAAGCTCTTCAGTCCTCACACGCATCCAACGACTCGCAGGAACTCCTCGATATCCTCAAGTCTGTAACGGAGAAACATGCCATTCAAATTCTAAGCCTGTGGAGGACCGATAGAGACATTGCTGCGGTGCTTTCTTTCGCCAGAGGTGTGGTCAATGGAGCATCCAACCTGCCAGATATTGTTGACGACGCCAAACCAGGGACGGGCTTGTCTTTGGAGTCGGAACTGATGACCAATTTCCCCTTTGTCTACCCTAAACTTCGTGCCATTCCAGCCACGGCACTAGAACTTGATGGACTACTTAGCCCCAATAGCTTCCGCCGGCTAAAGCAACCCGAAAACCAGTAAGCCTGTACTGCAATCGGTCCATCTTCCATCGCGTTTGACGTCGTAGCCTTGCTGACATAGGATTTTGTTTTAGGGCCGGCCACAACGACGATAGGCCGCCTGGCGATGATATCTCGTCCTTGATGTCTGATAGTACACGTCAAACTTTAAAAGATCCGTTTCACAACGTGGTGCCACCGGATAGGATGGCAGATACGAGACCGAGTCTCTGCGACAGTCGACTGCATCAACTCGACATCTCCTTCTGGACCGCGGTCTCAGTCGCCAATGATCTCGCAGCCCGCATAATTTCCGTATACCTAACGACTGATCATCCCCTGCTATGCATCTTCGATCCAGACTCATTCATTTCCGATCTTGTCAGTCATCAGACAACCAATTGCTCCCGGCTCCTTGTCAATACAGTTCTGTACTGGGGATCCGTAAGTAGACGGAAGACCTTGGTACTCCGAAGCAGGGGACAGAAGAAAAACTCTGACCATGGCACTGTCCTGCTAGCAACTTTACGCTGCATTTGATCCAGAGACCCGTGGCTATGCAGATTCGTTCTGCGACGAGGCTGAGGAGCTTTGGTTGCATCAGCAACACAATGATACAATTCTCAACGCTGCCAGCGCCCAATTGTTGAGCTTGGCTTACCTCGGCCAGGGAAAAGATCATTATGTTTTGAAGTTTCTCTCGGCTGCCATACATATGGGGAAAAGGTTATTCTTGCTTGACGTTGACCCATTGCTGGCGACGAGAAATCTGGCACACCTTTTACCCGAAACAAAGAGACGAATGGCATTCACGGCGTGGGGGCTGTTTAACTGGGCGGTGTACGTACACATGAAAATCGTCACTTTGAACGTCACCCACTGACTCTCGCGCGTAGCTTGACCATGATGTTTTATCAACAACCGAACCTGGAATACCCGGAATATCCCCCCATCCTTCCGATACCACATAGCGAGAAAGTCGATGCAGCATCCATAAGGGTGGCTTATGTTGACGCTGATAGGACAACACCAGCTTTGCCTTGGTTCATGGGCTCCACGTTTTCCGCACTTTGCTCCTTCTGGCAAATTTTACACGGCGTGGGTCTTATTTACTACAAGAACCGAGAAAGTTCGCTGCAAGAACATACTACCCTGGACTTTGCGGAACGCAAATATCGTGAACTGCTCGATTGGTCCAAAACTTTACCGCCAGATAACGTCCTACGAGATGACAGTCCCCATCATGTTGTCATCCTCCAGTAAGCTCCAGATCTGTTCGAGGTCCCACTCCACCTACTCATACTTGCCTTCCCAGCATTTGGTTTCACGCCGCCGTTCTCGACATATTTCGGCCCTTTGTACACGGACCCCATCCATATCGATCCCGCGTCTTATCCTCTTCCGAGCATCGCCTATCCCCGGATGATGCCTTTCGCGCGTCCGTGCAGCAACTCAAGTATCTAGTCGTCAAATATCGTTCGAACCATCAAACCTCCACCTACACGATGCTGTGGCAGACAGCCCTGATTTACGTAGCAAACGCCGTGCTGCACGATACACAAAACCCCGAATGGCGGTTCTATTTCTTGACATGTATATATGCGTATACAGATCTCCGAAAGTCGTATCGTGTTGCGGAGTCAATATCTCGGGCACTGCTGACTATGGCGCTCCGTGGAGGATGCATAACACACAGTGAGGCCGATGCTCTAGAAACAAAGATGACGGAAGCAGGTGGGAGAGTCAAGAGAGATGACAAAATTCGCGCCACGTTCATGGTTGATCTAGACTTGGCCATGTGGGACCCCGAGGCCGCGAAGGTAGAGGTTCTCGCAAAACGATTCGATGACATTGTCCTGTTTCGGGACCTTGCCACCGGGGATGATAAAGAGGCGCAGAGCTTTAGTCAGCTCTAGATGTTCAGCGACCCTCGACAGTTGCCTCGACAGTCGGTAGGAGTTGTTGAAGAGGTTTGCTTTGGAGACGGGACATGATAAATTATGATGCTTAACGTCACCCTTGACTGTGTATAATCGCCGCTAGCGCAGATTAACTTTGTAGACTGGCCCTGCTCACGTGAGTTTCGATTGAGCCAAGTTACCAAGTGGACTTGCAACGAACAAGATTACCTTGAAACCTCTCTTGTTTCTGCCCTCAAGTTTGAAGAAGTTTCAGACGGAAGTTCATCCAATGTGACACTTACTCGGAACGAGCGAGAGCCGGGGGCTTGCAGTCAAGATAAGTCCGGCATCACGGGGAACACAGCGCCAGCTCCAGCTACTCGAGAGACTTGATCAATCCTAGGCCATGCTAGCTAGTTAACCCGGAAGAGTCACGTTATCTCCGGCTCTGTTCTTGTCTCACATACGCGGGTTGCGGGTATGTCGGGCGCCATCGAAGCTGTCACACACTAAACACGCCCGTTTCCCGTCATCCTGCTGCCCGTAGCTTCAACCTCAAATCTCTTCATATGCTTTTTTTTTTCTTTTCCTATGGCCTCCTCAAGGCGCTAACTCATTTGCCAAGGTCGAATCTTGCGACAGTAGCCAGGTCCTCTTAGCCGGGTTCTTTGGTGTTTACACAGGGCTATGCTTGGTCCTACTGTCTCCCGCCTACGACTGGGAAGACGGTGAACTCTGAGTTTAGTTGGTTGTGCCGAGTCTCGATCTGCTTCTTCCATGCCGCTAGATCCGCGAGATTGAGTTCCCGTTCATGACAGCTGCCGGGGGTGGGGGGGAAGAGATGACGGTCCTCTTACGGCGGCACCAGTTTTGATAATAAACCCTGATTTGGCCCGCGGGCGTGTTGCTGCCAAGACTTATGTGCATCTTGGCGTCAGCTTATTGGTCTTCTGGAGTTGGATGGAGAGTGGTGTCAGGTGCTACTGTCGCAGGAAAGGTCCCCTTGTGAATTACTGCCGTAACAACTCGAGCAACTCCAATTTACGTTAGCCCGTGCACTCGACCCGTTAAGCCTCTCTCAATGAGAAAAACTCGCTGATCTCCGCCACCTTTTCAGATCTTGATTCTGAATAGAGACATCTATTGGCTTGGAGGTGTGCAAGACAGCGGGAGCACGGGCTCGAGTTTCTACGGTAGTCCGTGGAAGATCGGGAAACTACCAATTGGCTGCAATGTCCGGCGTTGGACGCCGGACATACGCACAATGACCTGAAATGATCGTCACTGCTGAAGCTAGCCGCCTACTATGATCGAACTCCTTGGCCTTCTATTTTCTTAGCAGCGACGTATCTTAACGAGAGCAAACTATTTTCCGAGCTAATTAGCCAAATATATTACTCAATTGTCAAACGTTCTCAACTACGTAAGATTCGGCAACTACGAAACTGTGGTAGTACTACGTCTAGTACTACGTCCACGTTAACCTCTGTCGCACCCATCACCTTGTGTCATTACAGCTGAAAAAACAAACGCATCGCGCTTTTCCTTGTCAAACTGTTTTAAGCCATGACAAAGTTACTGATAAAAAACGTGCGTGTTTTTGACAGCAACATTGTTCAAGCTGCTAGGAATGTGGTGTTCACTAGGTCGGCCGGTAATATCTACGACATGATGGGAGATGATTCCGATATCGAAACTTCCGATCATGTTATCGACGGCGCCGGCTGTACATTAATTCCGGGGCTCATCGACGTCAACGTGAATATCAAGGGCACGAACGCAGCGCTAGGCACATTCGCTAGTTATGGCGTGACGACCGTCATCGATCTAAGCAGCAGTACTGAGCAGTGCCAGTCACTGCGAGTGTTTGCCGCTGGCAAGACAGGGCTGCCAACTCTTCTTACATCCGGCACAGAAGCGGCACCTACAACCATGAGCGAAGACCGTCTGCCGCTGTACAACGACCCGGCCATTGTGGTGATTCGCACGCGCGAAAATGCAGAGGCTTTTGTCTCAGCGAAATTGAGCGGCCCGGACAGCTCAGACTTTGTGAAAGTCGTCATTGGCTTAGAATTACATACCGATGAACTTCTCAAAACCATCGTGGATCTCGCTCATCTGCACAAGAAGTTGACTGTGGCACGCACCATGGGTAAGGCGTCTTATGAACGTGCTATGAGGGCTGGTTTCGACGTCTTCATCCATGCGCCTCTGGACGCACCAATAGACGAAGCAATGGCCCAAGAAATGGCTGCGCAGGGCAAGATTTTCATCCCAACGCTTGCCATGATGAAGAACCAGGCGGCATCAGAACGAGCATCCGCTAGCACCACTGAGGACAACGTCGACCGTAACACATCGTCCAACATCGTTTCAGACGCGCAAGATATAGAGATGGGAAATGTAGTGCCAGGTGCCACAGTTGGAACCGACTATGCGAACGCGACAGAAAGCGTGCGAACACTCCACAAAGCCGGCGTCACGATTTGCGCGGGTACGACGGCGAATCTGGAACCAGGGACTAAGATGCCATTTGGCGTGAGTCTGCACGAGGAACTACGCTTACTTGTTGACACTGGTATGCCGAATCTGGATGTTCTGCGGTCAGCGACTTGTGTTGCCTCCAAAGCATTTGACCTTGGCGATCGAGGGGTTCTTCGAGGCGGTCTGAGAGCCGATCTCGTGCTCGTCCACGGCAACCCGTTGGAGGACATCAGCGTTACGCGGAATATCAAAGGAATATGGATCCAGGGCGAATACATTAGCCCACACATCGCCTCGGCCGATCCGGCACATACTCGTCAGTAGGACAGCCGGACGACAAAGGTTGACGGGTTCTGGTCTAGTTTAGTCGATTGAGCCTGGCATTCGGATTTTCTTATACCCAGTAAGACTAAATAACTCATGTTGAACGCTACTTATAGTGGATGAGGGGAACATCTACTTTGCTAAGGAGAGGCAACTGGTCACAGCTCATCCACCTACTCCATAAAGAAGTTTCAAATTCAAATCCAATATTAGCCAGCCGCAGGATAGAATCCAACACTTCCAAAGTCTCAGTCAGTGTATTTAGGGATGAGTACTCAGTGTCCATGTATCGACTTGAAGCCCCTCATGAAACTGAAAGAGAGTTACGATGCAAGTAGATGGCCCGATGCGGTCAGTTGATAGCGGTGTCATTGAAATTTGAAAATCCCTATTTCTTATCTCAAAACCACGGCGCCTTGTATCTTAATGATGCGTCAGTCAACGCTTACAATTCTGTCTAGAAACTTGACCGTGGAAGTCTCAGCTGGGGAATCTATTACCCGGCCTTTTCCGTCATCGAACACCCTCACTCCGCGAATTGTAATCATTGGCCCAGTTTCCCCTCTCACCGACTGCCTGCCATACACAGGGACTATTCTGTTTGATAATTTTGCCTGCTTCTCAATGTTGATGAGTATTGCTTGTGCGCGACCCGATACTCCGGCATTGGACATCTCATTGATGATGCAGCAAGCTTTGCCGATGATGTCTCGTACAGTGAGTTTCGCATTTCCCAAATCGAGGAGAGGCATGAGTTCATGGACCATAAAGGAGCAGTACTCGGCTGCCCAGTACTCATGCCTAATCTTATGTATGCCGCGGTAGGTCCAAAGGCTGGCCATCATGGAGCTCGCATGGCCAATAATAAGGGAAGCAGCGTTGTGACCGTCAAAGACATCAGTGTCCGAATCTTTCAAATAACTGGACATTATTCGAAGTGCAATAAAGTCGTAGCTGGCCCTATGAAAAACCATCATCAGAGGTGGGGTTCACGTCATCTCTTGGAGGGGGAAGGCGGCATAAGAGATGTAAGCAAAGGTATCACTTACTGAAGCAACAAAACAGATGAAGAGACACTTTTGTCCGTCATAAGATGATCGGGAAAGGAAAGTTGCCAACAACAAAGCTTGTTATAAAGCGCCGTATAACGACAACCATCCAGGCCGTTGCAGGCGGACTCAGTCACAAGTTGGGCAGCGATCTCGCAAAGGGCACATTCCGCGACGAAAGCTTCAGAGTATCGAGGAGCTTTGCCTGGATATAATATTGGATTCTGCCCCATGCAATAGACTTGACTGCTGAAGCTTCGAGATGTGTTACTGATAAGAGGTTTCGGGACTAGCATCTCGGGCGAGGCGATTACGGATGCTTTGCTGGAAAGAGCATATTAGCCACCCACTGGTACCGCATTGGAGAGACGCAGAAGGCACTCACGAAAAAAAACAGTAAAATCCCCAAGTCATGTGAGAAATTGCCTCGCACATCTTCGCTGGAGCACCGTCGTTCTTCCTCAAAGATGTGACTAGCCTGGAGCCTATGCCATCTAGATCAACAGAAACCCAATTTTGTCTCAGCAGGCTCTGCAGGCTTGCACATTGTCGTCGTGCGTGGTGGGATCCGTCATTGCTGGCAAAAGTCCACAGGACAGCAGCGGCTTGTAGTAAAGTCAAAGAGCTTACAGTCTGCTCCGATTCTAGAAGTTGGAATGCGTGATTAGCAAACTGATGGCCAAGCGCTAGGATGTCTGCAGAGTTTGCTTCGGTGTTTCTTGTCGCATGGAGCTTTCATCATAGTCGCTATGTTACTACTTCAATCTGATGGAACAACACAAGGAACATGAAGTGTCAGACATACTGAGGCCACAGCCAGGATGGCATTGACAAGTAATGGTGAGCAGAAGTGGCCGTATTCACTATGTGCAGTATCGCATTCGGTACCTGTCAGGGAGGAGAGAAAGAGGTCTCTATCAATGAGATGCGACAGCGTCGTGTCCCAGATCCAGAATAAGTTCACAAGATGTGTCAAGGCCTTGTCGTCATGAGAGATCTTGGTCCAGCGCGATACGGGCATGATCTCATCAAGAGGGCTGACGAACTCATCTCTTACCATTGGGGGAGAGCTGTGACGAGACAAGGATCAGTCTTCTGAAGAAACAAGAGGGCTCCAGAAAGAACATGCGTTATTATAAGTGACTCTCTTGCCGAGGTCCCCTCTTGATTCAGTCGGATCCGAGATCCTGGGCCTACAATGGGTATATTACCCTGAGTCAGTGGCTAGATCAATCCTCAAGTAAATCATTGACACTAACTAGAACACCCATAGTTGATGGGGAGGAGAAGGGTAGCGTCGGCTATTGACTGAACAGCCTCTTCAAGATCATCGGACCCCTGCAGCTGCTTCACAATGCCACCCACCGTCTGGTTGTTGCTTGTTCGAAGTAGCTCAAGAACTTGTCGACCCTTTTCATGCGCTACTGAAACATGACTGAGTTTTTGTTTCTGGGCTTCCCTCGGAGTGATCCCTTCGGCAAAGGGGTAGACGCAGGGCGTATTGGAGGAGACGCAACCATGGCAGGTTGGCCGGGCTCCATCACACTATTAGTATGACAGCAGCAGTTAGCATTGCCAGGACTTTTGCTATAACTACAAAACGAAACTACGAAGGATATTGAAAAGAGGTGCGAGTAACCTTGACTTTTCGCTTTCGGCAGTCTGGATAATGTGTCAGATAATTTTACGGAAGCCATCACTGAATAAAGGAAGAAATATACTGGCGCAGGCTGACAAGGCTTGTGTTCTCTTCCGCTTAGACACCAAGGCATGGGGGGGATGGGGCGGGACGCTTGAGGTCAGAGGCAACAATCGCCTATAGGTTGGCTGACCCGACATCTGTTGGCTCCACCAAAGGGTAAGAAGCTAGATCGTCTTCTCGAGTGAGTGATTTAGAGCAAAGCGAAACAGGTCAAACTAATGAAATGGTGCAAACGTGCGTTGTAGAATAGTAACAAAGCTTAGGATACAACTTATGGATTGATTGACCTTATCCCAATCCATTTGGCATGATCTGACCTTTGGCCGCATCCTTTTCTTTGTGATATATTTCACCCCGCTTTCTTTACACACCCCCCTCATGTGCCTCTGACGTATTACTTGCGTGCCTCTACCACATCCCAATTTTTTCTGAATGACGGGCTTATGACACCAGGTCGATAGATTTGACGATTGGTCGCAGCCAAGTTCCACGGGCTTTGTGGAGTAGGCCTCACGTGCCTGGATATAATCTGGTGTGTTGGTCTCTTGGCTTGAACCAGGTGATCTCGGTAGTTTTTGTACGCGAAGGTCTTTTTGACATCAGTGGTTCATTAATGCCTCTTATTAAAGATTATGAGAATTTTCCCTAGCGTAATTACTTCTCTAAGCCAAGAGAGCATGAAAGTTGTCACGAAACAGGAATAATATTAGCACTCTATAGCTAGCTTATTACATATATTATTACGTGATTCTCTCATTTATCCCTATACAATACATTTCTTTACTTTATTCTTTTTAAGTTTATATAACGTACTTTACCAGTCAGCCGCGCATATCAGTCAGCCGCATACTTTTTCCAACCTTTCAAACATCTTATAAGTTTATATAACTATAATATAAAAAATTAATTAACTCTTATCGGTATCTAAATTGCTAAACGATTCTATATCTTTAGAATATATTTGCGTATTATAGCCTATTCTACTGTATATACCGTAATACCGTTAAGCCGACCGATCTTTCTTTAATAGACCCCCTTTTTTACCTTCTTAAAGCACTAAACGTTTCTTTTTACTTTTTTCTTTTAAAATAACCTAAGATTCTTTTATATTAAATATTCCTTTAAGTTAAATATATATCTTTTTCGCTTTCTAGCGTTTAGTAAGCGCTATATTAGTATCCTAAAATATACGTACTTAATCCATTAAAATCGTAATCGAGTACGCTATTATTTATATACCCTTTATTAACCGGTCGACCGCTTTAATTATTAATATTAAAAAGCTTTTTTTATAAATTAAGATCCGATTTTTAATAAAATTAAACTATAAAAGCGCTTTATAACAGTTAAAGGGCATTTACGACTATTAAGCTAATTATTACGACCCAATATATATAACTAAAACCAGGGCCTATCCCGTAGGCTTATGGCGGCTACGGCACAACTATATATATATAAGTGAGCGGAATATATACGTTACCTTAATAGAACGGAAGAACTATAAATTAAGTTACGTAACGATAAGAGATAAAGAGATCCGTATATTAAAAATACGGACCTATCCTTTTATAATATAGAGCCTATATATTTAAAATACGGAGCCTATTAAATAAATATACGGACAAAAAATATATTTAAAAATAAGATTTATATATAATATAGACTTAAGCCGGGCTTTAAAATAAACTTCCTATAACTTTTTTAACAATTAATTTAATATTAGATCTTATAATCGCTTTTAACTATCTTTATTAAAAAATACTTTTTAACAAGATTATAATTAATTACTAAAACCTTACCTACCTTACGACTTATAAATATAGTTTTAAAAAAGCTATTTACAATTACTATACTATTTATTTAGCCCTCGTAACCTTAATTTTTATTAATATACTTACTACGATTAACTAGCCGTAATACTTTAATTACTCCTATTTAATAAGTTTACTTTATAAAAAAATTAACTAAATAATATAAACGATATTTTCCTATACTTTTATAAAATTACTTATTCTAGGCTCCTTTATTTTTTCTAAATAACCTATTTAAAGTTTGGCCAAAGAAATAAAAATAGCCTTAATAAATATTAACTCTAATAACGAGGATACCCTTAATAAAAATATTTACAAATAACTTAAAAAACGAATTAAAAAAGGAAACATAGATATCACTAAAGTATAAACTATATATAATAATACCGTAAACAAGCTTTAAAACCTTAAAATTATAATCTAATAGTTCGGGAATAGCCTTTAGTATATTTAAGACTTAAAAAATAAAGTCATTTAAATTAAAAAACAAAAATTAAGTACTAACGTCTAGGCTTTTTAAGAAGAAGTTAATACCCTCTAAGCCGCTACTAATATTATTAATATTCCCTTTAAAAAGGACGATAGAAACTTAAGCTTAACGTACCTATTACTTATAAAGGTACCCCGGGTACTCTTAAAGGATTTTTAATTTAAATTAAGAACTATTAAAACTTTTACTATAGAGATTTTACTAATAAAACTAAGAAAGTTATATATGCTACTAACTTTTTTAAAAGACGAGCCTTTAAATAGTTCGAACTAATCTAGGAGGAATACCTTAATAAAGAAACTCTCGATAAATACTCTACTAAAGTATACAATATCTATTATAGCTTTAATAAGTTTAAAAAAGCCCTTAAGTCCTTATTCTAGGACCTTAATAAGAAATGACAAATTAAATATAACCTAACGTAGCTCCGATAAACCAAATTGGTAAAAAAATACTCTATTAAATTTAAATATCTTAATACCTAACTAGACTTTACTAACGATACGAAAATATTTATATTTTATTAAGGATTAAAGGATAAGGTTAAGGATAAATTAGTCCTATTCGATAAACTAAATAACTTCCTCTAATATAGTAAACTTACTATTAAGCTTAATAACCGACTTTATAAAAAAAAAAAAAAAAAAGATCGTAAATAAGAATCTAATATAGGACATAAATATTAATAATAACCTTAACGTAACTTTTAGATTAATTAACGACCTTATAATAATTAGAACGGTAACTGCTAAAATACTGCTTATAGATAGTATAAAGGTCCTATAGACCTTAATATTATTAAAAAAAAAAAGACCGATTAAAAAAAAAGTTTAAATACTATAACTATAATAAACTAGGATATATAACTAGGGATTATTAATAACCTAAGTATATCTAAAACTAACCCGTCCTAAAAAAAAAGGCTAACCTCGCTATTAAAGAAGTTCTTTATATATAATTATTATAAATAGGTTATTATAACGATAGCTACCTTATATATAAAAATAGTAAAAAATAAATAGGATAATACCTTAAAAAATTAAAAAATAAAGGACGATTAAGATATAATATTATACTATTACTAGTTAAGACCCTAGCGGTAATAAAGAAAAAAAAACTCTTAATTAAGACTATCTATATAATATAATAAAAAGATAGTAATAAGAAATTTATTTATAAAGTTAAAGAATAACTTAAAGACCTTTCCTATAAAGATAAGATCGAAATATTTAAAAGACTAACTTTTAATTTTAGTATTATAAATAAAGGAAAAATCGACTTTTAAGTTAAAAAAAAGGAAATTAATATAAAAAATAGCTCTTATTAACTTAATAAAGAATTATTTAATAATTTAAATAAACTTTATAATGTTGCTCGATAACGTACTTAAATGGAGATCGGTTATAAAGTATTGCTTAATATTAATAATATTAATTTTAAAAAGAATAATAATGAACTAAAGTATAAATATATTTATCTATTTAAGGATAACTAAATTATTTAATTTTATAGAATTAAAGAATATAAGAAAAACGTAATAACTCTTTATATAGAAAAAAACTATTCTCTATTTGACCTTAAAGACCCCTTTTATAAAGAATTATTTTAAATAGAATACCTAAATAATAAATACCTTTAATACCTTATACCTAAATAAAATAACTACTTCTATCTATAAAGGCGTAATAATAAATATATTAAAAGTATCTATATAAATAACTAACTATCTAGTTAAACGCTATAATATTATAATAATAACGATAAAGTAATATTCGGTCTAGACCTAAACTTCCTTATAAAGTATTTAAATAATTAATATATAAACTAAGAAGATTATAGATATAACTAATATTAAATTTATTATATTAAAAAGGCTAAGGCCTAAAAAAAAAATTAAAAATAATAAAAAACCTAATAGAAAAAATAAGCGTTAAAAAATTAAAAAAGCTAATCGTAAAAAAATAACGAAAGGTAAGATTAGAAAATAAATTCCTATATATAACTAGATAGCGTAACGATATATACTTATAAGTAAAACTTAAAATTTATAGAAAAAAACTAAACGCTATTATTAATAGTGGCGTATAAGAAAGCTATATCTTATTAATAGTAATAAATAAGCTTGACCTATTATAAATATAGAAGGATAACCTTTACTGATTATAAATAATAAAAAGAGAATGAGTTAGATACGATTTCGGATATATTAATTAAGAAACTATATATCTTTTAATATATATTAACGATCGGTAAGAATAACTAAAATATAATATTATAAAGATTAGAAATATCGATATTATCTTAAGATTCTCGTAGTTATAAAAATATAACTTACGGATAGATTAAATAACTAGCTAAGTTTAATAGGAGAATTTAGTTATTAAACGACTTTAAAAGAAAAAGGGTTTAAGCGGATTCTTAATAACTTTTAAAAAAAGAAAATGAATATAATATATAGCTTTTATTAAGATAGTAAAAAGCTTTAGGAAGTTTATAATTGGTACTGACGATTAGGGATCGTAACGGTTCTAGACTATACTTAAAAAATACCGGAAATATATAAAACTATTTATAGAACTTAAAGAAATAAGATTACTAGAATATAGTAGCTAGGATATAGAGATTGAATTTAAGGAAGGAATATAACCTAGATTTTATTTATTATATCTTATAAATTAAGAGGAATAAGAATACCTTAATGAATATATTGATAAAAAACTTAGTAAAGGATATATTTGATTATCGAATTCTCTTATAAGATTTCCCCTATTCTTTATATTAAAGAAAGGAGAAAAGAAATTAAGACTTATAATTAATTATAGGAAACTTAATAAAA